CAGGGTTGGGGGAAGAGAACTGAAAGGTTGAGGAAGACAGTATCACTCAGAAGCTAGGCCCCACCTGTGGGCAAAGACCTGGGTGGACAGGCCATGATGGTGCTCCCCTCGCCCCAGGACGATGTCAGGTGCGGGTGCTGCCCCCAGTGCCCACAGAAGGGCTGACACCAGATGACGTCCCAGCTCTGGCTGACAGAGTCCGGCACTCCATGCTCACTGTTTTCCGGGAAATCTCCACTGATGGCCGGGGTGGTGGTGACTATCTGAAGAAGCCTGGGGGGGTGGGTGAACCCCGGCTCTGAGCTCTCCTCCCATCTGTCCCCATCTTCTTACCACACCTACCTACCCAGTGGGCCCTGAAGCAGGGCCAAGCCCTCTTCCTTGTCTCCCCTCTCCCCACTTATTCTCCTCTTTGGAATCTTCAACTTCTGAATCGAATGTGGATACAGTGCCACTCCTGCCCCCTCTTGCCCCCACCCATGGACTCTTGCCTCGGTGCAGTCTCCACTCTGACCCCCCCCCCGCCATCTTCTCTGTGGCGCAGTTGCCTCCCCCTCATCTTCAGGGGCTCAGCCTACACAAGGGTGGGGAACATTCCATCCCCAGTGGAGTCTCTTCCTTTGTGGTCGTCTCTTCCTTTCCACCCCACATTGGCCAGTGGACTCATCCATTCTGTGGAACAATTCTGCCCCACTCCAAAGTCCATGGATTCAATGGACACTTCCGTTTGTGAGGAGGACTTCTCGCCCTGTGACTAGAAGCTGATACCTGGAACACTCCTCCCAGCCTCAACCTGGGAGCTTTCCTCAGCACCTTCACCTTCCCTCCCAGTGGAGCCTCCCGTCAGTGGGGGCTGGACTCTTCTAATTCAGAGGTCTCATGCCTGCCCTTGCCCAGATGCCCAGGGTCATGCACACTCCAGGATGCCAGTTCGGTCTCCACATTTCTGCTTTTCTCTATCCCCATGGTACCATTCTTCAGCGGTCCTGATCCCACCCAATCCCCTGCAGCCCTGCTGCACCATCTCACCAGACACAAGGGGAAGAAGCAGACATCAGGTGCTGCGCTCACTTCTGCTCCCTGGGAACTTGGGGAAAGGGACTGAACCCTGGCTGGAGGGGATAGGAGGGCTTTTAATTTATTTCTTTTTCTGTTGAGGCTTCCCCCTCTCTGAGCCAGTTTTCATTTCTTCCCGGTGGCATTAACCACTCCCTGCCTCTCACTCCAGACCTGTTCCCACATCTGGGGAGGTAGGCTGGGAGCAAAAGGAGAGGGTGGGACCCAGTTTTGCGTGGATGGTTTTTATTATCTGGATAACAGCAAAAAACTGAAAATAAAGAGAGAGAGAGAGATCTGGGTGCTTGGTGGTTACATTTGTTAAGGAATTGAAGAAGCAGTTCTTGCCCAGGCAATCTGCCCCCAGCCAGAAGACTCAGGGGTGGGCCAAGAACACGGCCTCCGCCTTCCTTCAGCTCTCTGAAGTTTCCACTGCTCACTGCTCTTCGGTGGCTGATGGCCTTATCTGCAGCTCATAGTCCGCCAAGCCCAGAGGATTTATGAGTCCAGTTTCTGTATAAATTAGGGGGCAGGGGTGCTGTAGAGGCTCCTTATCGATGATTGAGGCCAGGGCCCAGGCTGTTGTCCTCACAGGAGCCTGATTAATGACATGACAGACACTGGCTGTGGTCGGCCTGGAGTGGACTACACTGCCACTCTCACCAAACAGTAAGTGGAACGATTGGGCTGGAGCCAGGATTTCAGAAGAAAAGGATGGGGAAGTGGAGCGATCCTGGGAAGGTATGCTAGTGAATGTTGGAGACGGGTGTGGAGAAAAGAGGGCGTGCTTGAATGGGCGGGGTCTTGGGGAAAGTTGGGGAATATAGGTCAAGGCGGCAGGAGCATGAGGACTCACAGGCACCCAGCCTCTCCTCCAGCAGCAGCACCTGGTCGCTGAGAGATTCGATCCGGTCACCCCGGCCCCATAGCTCAGCCACCTGTTCTGGCTGCAGCTCTTCAGGCGGCACGGGCAGCACCGCTCGGACCCACGCCCCAGCCTGACCGGCCCACTGCAAAGGAAGAGTTGCCTCAGGGTATTGTTAGTGAGGTCTGGCCTCGCCCCAGCCCGCAGGCTTGGCTCACCTGCTCCAGCCGCTCCAGGCGCCCTCGCAGCTCACGAATCTCCCGCTTCAGAGTGCGCTCGTCGTTCTCCGCCTCCCGAACTAGGAACAAAGGAGACCAAGAGCGTGACCGCTGCCCGGGCCCGGACGCCTGTCCCGGGTCGCTGCGGTGGCCCGTACTCCTGCCCGCTCACCGGCCACGCTGAGTATGCTGGCACTGGTTGGGGGCTCTGGGGACCCCTCCTTGCAGGTGCGCCCGTCCGGGCCTAGCACTAGGTCGTGAGGGCAGCCGCAGGTGAAGCTGCCGGCCGTGTTAAGACAACGATGCGAGCAGAGGGTGACGCTGGTCCTACATTCATCCACGTCTAGTTACCGAAAAGAGGAAGGGGCTGAGAGAGGGGGTGGCGGCAAGACGCCTGGGTAGGTGGGGAGGTCAGGGAGCCCTCGCTGGGGAAGGCTGAGCCGACTCACCCACATGACAGTGCTTCCCTCCCCAGCCGGGGGCGCACTCGCACCGGTCCGGCCGAACGCAGACGCCTCCGTTCAGGCAAGGCTTGGCGCAGATGGCTGCGGACAGAAGAAGTGGGGTTCGGACTCGAACCGATAGCCCCCAGCTCCGTGGAGCGCGCCTCCCGCAGGGTCTGGAAGACCCAGCCTCACCTTCACAGGTGAGCGCCCCCGGGTGCCGCTTCTTCCAACCCTGGCAGCACACTGTATGGGTCTGCTGCACCTCCCGCCTCACTTCCCGCCACGTAACGCGGTAGGTGGTCCTGGAACACAGCGCCCGGCTCAGGACCCTGAGGACGGGTCCGGGCCGCGGTTCTTGGGGTCCCATCTCCCCATCCCTCACCTGTAAGTGCTGCAGATGCGCCTTCCAGCACACAAGGTCAGGTAGGGCTTGTACACTGGTTGGCTGTAGGACTCGTTGTAGCGGAGCGGGACCACCACTGTCCGCTTGGAGCAGACTCCCGGACTGCGTCCATGCCAGAGGATGAGGTGGGAGAGATTAAGTAGGCCAGGCCCTGGGGAGCCAGGACTCCCACTTCCCTCAACGGGCTACTGAGACCCCGCTCTCCCTCCAGATGACAGCCTCTCACCCACCTTCTAAACCTGCAGTTCTGTTTTGCCTGTGAAATCCCACCCACAACAGAAGGCTCCCGAGAAGAGGTCACCCCAGGCCCCAGCCCCACTGTTGTCACCTCTCTCTGAGAGATCCACCCTTGGCCCCCTTGCCTGACATCAGTAGCAGGAGGAATGAGAGACCGCCTAATAGAGTGCACAGCTCAGCCCTGGACCCCATGATTCTCTTTGACTCCAGACCCTTTGGGCTGCAGGAAAGAAAAGGTTAATGGATGCCCATCCTCTCTCCTATTAATTTCTCCAGCACTAGCCCCTCCAAGGGCACTCTGCTATGCCCTCTAAGGGAGTCAGGACATTCACTTTTACATACTAGCCACCAGGATTGCCTACACCTGTGTGTACACCCAACACTATCCTATCCTTAGCGTATCATGATCCGTTCAGCATCATAAAACTCACACCCCAGCACACCCCCTCCACCTCCCCTCTAACCTATTTACTTCTAATCCCCTCCGCACAATCTGGAGGGACAGTCAACCCTCCTCCCCCTTATGGCACTCCTGTCTTTAACATGCTCTCTTATAACTTCACACCTTCAAAACACTAGCTATACACCCTCACACCATACACACAAACCAAGCACCTGGAAACCACACCTTACACACACTGCTACTCCCCTCACACACCACCACATACACCCTAAATGCACATCCCTTGCTCCAACAAAACACCCCTCAACTCATGCCGCCCTAAGTCTCTGAATAAACCCCACTCTTTCCCCAGTGAAATTCTCTCCCCACTGCCCTTGCTCTCTCTCCATTCCCACCTGGCTTCTTTCTCCTAGGAGGCTTCAGGCAGAGCAGCCTCAGCAGAAGCAGCTCAGACTGGTGGGTAGGCCTGGCGGGCTAAGAAGGAGAGGAGGGGCTGGCCCAGAGTCCTCCCATTCCTGCCCCCTCCCACAAGCCTCCTCCTCAGCTCCAGCCGGGTCAGCTTAGTAGGGTCGAGTCCCTCTACCCTCATCTCCACCCCAACAAAGAGCTCCCTAGAAGTGTCTTTCCAACCCTATGAGGCCCATTTCTGGACTCCCCAGATCAGAAGATACAAGCTCTGTAACACCACCAGTACCCCCTTTAACACTACACAGACAAGGGGAGAGTTGGGGGGCAGGGAGAGAAACAGCTGCCAAGGAACAAAGCAGGTCAGGTCATGGGAGAAGCAAGATCAGCTGAGGAAAGATAGAAGGGCAAGTCGTCACAAAGGGGCAGGAGGGCAGCCCAGGGCACCAAGGGGGAAACTGTCCCCCTCTCTTGATGACATTTGTTAGGGCTTAGGGGGAACAGAATTGAGTCAGCCACCACCCCCCATGCCAGAGCAGACAGGGCCCTATTGTCTCAGCCAAAATTTCTTCTTTCAAGAAGAGAAGGCTCATTGTCCAGCCCTACACCCAGCTCTGGCGCACAAAGCTCAAAAAGGGGCACAACAAATGCCCACCCTGACCCTCAGCCCCCTCGTCTAGCCAGGGGGTGGCAGGCGCATTCCACCCATGAGGCTGAGGCCCAAACCACTGGAGCCCTGAGCTTAGCCCCGCAATCTTGGGGACTGGGAGAGGAAGAGAATTGTCTTCGGCAGGAAAGAACCCACAGAGGATCAGGAACCCACAAAGAATGGGCATTGAGAGAGAGCGGAAACACCAAGGGGGTCCCCACCCTAGACCAGGAATCTGGGCACCCAGGCCTCAGCTCTCCGTCCACACCCTCCTTAGGGAGCCAGGTCCCCTCCACCTGGAAATGAGCCAAGTCACACTGAGGAAATGGAACTTTATTTCTATAAATACAGGGGTAACACCCATTCAAGGGAAGTTAAAAGAGGGCCTGGGGCCTCAAAAGAAACTAGGCTCCCAGGGGTTACTCCAACACTGATCATAGGGACTGGGGGATCCCCAAACCTGAGATGGGCCTCACAGGCCACAGATATTCCCCAACACTGACACTTCAGGAACGGAACTGTCCCCATAGGGGAGCCTCAGAACCCCACTCTCATGGGTAGTCCCTCTTAGGGGTTGGGAGGGCTGATGACAGAGGACTTCAGAGAAAAAAGGGAATATGGGAAGAATAGAAGCTAAAAATGTCCTGAGTGGCCTGGAAGGAGACCCCTGTGGTAGGCAGGGGGTGGGTTCTCCTCCCATACAGCCAGATACGGAGAAGCAGCAGCAGCAAAAGCAGCCACAAGTTAAAAACATGGTTTCTCACTTCCCAACTTCGGCCTTGAGAGAAAGGGAGAGCATGGAGCAACCCCCCCAAATGAGAGGACATGAGGTAGGGGAGGCCAGAACTTGTCATTCACGGAGGAGCAGAGGAGAGGGGTTCTGGGAGTCCAGCTTGGTGGGGGTAGTGTGGAGCAATGAGGTGGTCACAGGCACACCAGAGCCTGACACTGCTTTCCAAGGCCACCACTTGGTCTCTGGACTAGGGATTTCCTGGGGACCCCTGAATATATCCTCAGGAGAGCCAAGGTTCAATGCAGGTCTCATAAAGAGTACGATTGGAGTGCCAGGCTGTGTGGGAGATCCCGGCCATTGGACACCTCACTATGGCCCCCCGGGCCAATAGAGTCTTCAACCCAAAAGAATCTCGCAGATAAACCTTCAAGGTGGTCGAAGGGGCATGGAAGCATGGAAGAAAGACATAAGGAGAGACAAAGTGAGTTACTGCTGGCATGTAAACCTCCTCCCCACAGGGTAAACCCTTCAGCTCAGGAGTCACAGAGAGGGCTCCAGAATGAGGTGGGACAGTGGATGGAAGGGGAAGTAATCCCAAGGGGGCTCACCAGTTGCTCCTCCATCTCCAAGACCGTCTCATTTGCATCATAGAAACCAAAGAAGCTACAAAGAGATTTGGGGGAAGGTTATCAGGAGAGCTGGAGGAAAGCTGGCTGGGCACAATGGTTCATACCTGTAATCCCAGCACTTTGGGAGGCCGATGTGGCTGGATCACCTGAGGGCAGGAGTTCAAGACCAGCCTGGCCAACATGGTGAAACCCCATCTCTACTTAAAATACAAAAATTGGCTGGGCATGGTGGCAGGTGCCTGTAATCCCAGCTACCCAAGAAGCTGGGGCAAGAGAATCACCTGAACCCTGGAGGCAGAGGTTGCAGTAAGCTGAGATTGTGCCACCACACTCTAGCTTGGGCAACAGAGCAGGGCTCTGTCTCAGAAAACAAAGGAAAGAAAATCAAGGTGGGCTAACGTCCTAAAGGAATGGAAGGCCTATTGGGGAGAGAGGCAGCAGGGAGGACACTCAAAAATCTCTAACTGGATATAATGTACCTCATAAGGTGATACACTGAAGATATGGCCTCACTTCTGTAGAAACCCCATCAAAATGTATTACCGGCTGGGCGAGGTGGCTCACACCTGTAATTCCAGCACTTTGGGAGGCCGAGGCCAGCAGATCACCTGAGGTCAGAAGTTCGAGACAAGCCTGGCCAACGTGGGGAAACCCCATCTCTACTAAAAATACAAAATTATCCAGGCGTGGTCACAGGCGCCTGTAATCCCAGCTACTCCGAAGGCTGAGGCAGGAGAATTGCTTGAACTTGGAAGATAGAGGTTGCAATGAGCCAGGATTGCGCCACTGCACTCCTGCCCAGGCGAGAGTGAGACTCCATCTCAAAACAAAAAAACAAAAAAAGTATTACCTAAGCATGAGAAAATAACCAACAAACCCAAACTGAGGGAAATTCTACAAAACAGCTGGTCTGTATGCTTCAACAATATCAATGTCATGGACAAAGACTGAAAAACTATTCCAGATTAAAAGATACTAAGCCCGGGTGAGGTGGCCCACGCCTGTAATCTCACCACTTTGGGAGGCCGAGGCGGGAGGATCACAAGGTCAAGAGATCGAGACCATCCTGGCCAATATGGCAAAACCTCATCTCTACTAAAACTACAAAAATTAGCTGGTTGTAGTGGCACCTGCCTGTGGTCCCAACTACTCTGGAGGCTGAGGTAGGAGAATCGCTTGAACTCGGGAAGCAGAGGTTACAGTGAGCTGAGATCACGCCACTGCACTCCAGCCTGGTGACAGAGTGAGCTCCATGTCAAAAAAAAAAAAAGATACTTAAGAGGCCTGGAGCAGTGGCACACACCTGTAATCCCAGCACTTTGGGAGGCCAAGTAGGGCAGATCACCTGAGGTCAAGAGTTCAAGACCAGCTTGGCCAACATGGTGAACGCCCATCTCTAATAAAAATACAAAAATTAGCTAGGTGTGGTGGAGAGTTCCTATAATCCCAGCTACTCGGGAGGCAGAGGTTGCAGTAAGCTGAGATCACACCACCGCACTCCAGCCTGCGCAAGTGAGACTTCGTCTAAAAAAAAAAAGGCCTGGCCGTGGTGGCTCATGCCTGTAATCCCAGCACTTTGGGAGGGCTCGGCATGGTGACAGGCTCCTGTAATCCCAGCTACTTGGGAGGCTGAGGCAGGAGAATCCCTTGAACCAGGGAGGCAGAGGTGGCAGTGAGCCGAGACTGTGTGCCATTGCACTCCAACCTGGGCAACAAGATCAAAACTCCGTCTCAAAAAAAAAAAAAATGCTAGAGATATGACAACTTAATGCAACAAGGGATCCTGATTTGGATCTTCAACTGGATCTTTTTTTTTTTTTGAGACGGAGGAGTCTTGCTCTGTTGCCCAGACTGGCTAATTTTTTGTATTATTAGTAGAGACAGGGTTTCACCATATTGGCCATGCTGGTCTTGAACTCCTGACCCCATGATCCACCCACCTCGGCCTTCCAAAGTGCTGGGATTACAGATGTGAGCCACCAGGACGTTGGAAAAGCGCCCAGCCTGGATATTTTTTTCTATAAGGACACCGGGAAAATTTGAATAAGAATACTGTATCTGTGAGCGCATATTCAGGACAATTTGAATCTATGTTTATGTTTAAATATAATATTAACATATATAAATGTATACATATTTAAAGAAAAAAGATATTAATGTAAACAGGACAAAATGTTAACATTTGGGAAATCTAAGTGAGGAGTATACACTAATGCTTTTTGCTATTTTGGTAACTTTTTTTTTTTTTTTTTTTTTGAGACGGAGTTTCGCTCTTGTTACCCAGGCTGGAGTGCAATGGCGCGATCTCGGCTCACTGCAACCTCCGCCTCCTGGGTTCAGGCAATTCTCCTGCCTCAGCCTCCTGAGTAGCTGGGATTACAGGCACGCACCACCATGCCCAGCTAATTTTTTGTATTTTTTAGTAGAGACGGGGTTTCACCATGTTGACCAGGATGGTCTCGATCTCTCGACTTCGTGATCCACCCGCCTCGGCCTCCCAAAGTGCTGGGATTACAGGCTTGAGCCACCGCGCCCGGCGGTAACTTTTTTTTTTTGACATGTAGTCTTGCTCTGTCGCCAGGCTAGAGTGCAGTAGTGCGATCTTGGCTCACCGCCACCTCTGCCTTCCGGGTTCAAGCGATTCTCCTGCCTCAGCCTCCTGAGTAGCAGGGACTATAGGCATATGCCACTACGTACGTCCAGCTAATTTTTTGTATTTTCAGTAGAGACAGAGTTTCACCATGTTGGCCAGGATGGTCTCCATCTCTTGACCTTATGATCTGCCTGCCTCAGTCTCCCAAAGATTATAGGCACGAGCAACCACGGCTGGCCAGAAAAAAAACTTTTTTTTTTTTTTGAGATAGAGTCTTACTCCATCACGCAGGCTGGAGTGCAATGGCAAGATCTCAGCTCGCCGCAACCTCAGCCTTCCAGGCTCAAGCGATTCTTCTTCAGCCTCCTGAGTAGCCAGGATGGACTACAAGTGCACACCTCCATGCCCAGCTAATTTTTGTACTTTAGGTGGAGATGGGGGTTTGCCATGTTGCTCAGGGTGGTCTCAAACTTCTGGGCTCACACCTCGGCCTCCCAAAGTGCTAGGATTACAGGCACAAACTTTTTTTTTGAGACGGAGTCTTGCTCTGTCACCCAGGCTGAAGTGCAGGGTGCAATCTCAGCTCACTGCAACCTCCACCTCCCAGGTTCAAGCAATTCTCCTGCCTCAGCCTCCCAAGTAGCTGGAATTACAGGTGTGCAACATCACATCCAGCTAATTTTTTGGTATTTTTAGTAGAGACAGGGTTTCACCATGTTAGCCAGGATGGTCTCCATCTCCTGACCTTATGGTCTGCCCACCTCAGTCTCCCAAAGTGCTGGGATTACAGGCGTGAGAGCACACCCAGCAGTAAACTTTTCTTAAGTATGAGATTATTTCGAAATAAAAAGGTCTTAAAAATCTTTTTGTTTTTTGAGACGGAGTCTTGCTCTGTCACCCAGGCTGGAGTGAAGTGGCGCCATGTCGGCTCATTGCAACCTTCACCTCCCAGTTTCAAGCAATTCTCCTGCCTCAGCCTCCCGAGTAGCTGGAACTACAGGCAAGCGCAACCAGACCTGGCTAATTTTCGTATTTTTAGTAGAGACAGATTTCTCCATGTTAGCCAGCTAGTCTCAAACTCCTGACCTCAGGTGATCCACCCGCCTCAGCCTCCCAAAGTGCTGGGATTATAGGTGTGAGCCACTGCGCCCAGCCAGGTAGAGTTAAAATCTTTTAATTAAAAAATATTGCCCGGCACGGTGGCTCAAGCCTGTAATCCCAGCACTTTGGGAGGCCGAGGCGGGTGGATCACGAGGTCGAGATATCGAGACCATCCTGGTCAACATGGTGAAACCCCGTCTCTACTAAAAATACAAAACATTAGCTGGGCATGGTAGCTCGTGCCTGTAATCCCAGCTACTCAGGAGGCTGAGGCAGGAGAATTGCCTGAACCCAGGAGGCGGAGGTTGCGGTGAGCCAAGATCGCCCCATTGCACTCCAGCCTGGGTATCAAGCAAAACTCCGTCTCAAAAAAAAAAAAAAAAAAACTTAACTGGCATGGGCACTGAGTGGAACCTGGAATAAGCATATTTATTCAGTGCTTATTCCAGCTGAATAAATGCTAACATTGTTAAATCCAGTGGATTGTGGGAGCAAAAAAGAAAGGCCCTCATCCTAGTATTAGAGCATCAACAAAAGCTTCCCAGCAATGAACCTGGACCAAGGAAAGCTATCCCAGGCAAAGGGAACAGCAAGAGCAAAGACACAGAGGTGAGGTGCAGCTGGGCGCACTGGGGAGTGGGCTTGGAGGCCATGTTGATGGATGGATTTCAGAAGGTGTAGAGAAGCAGTAGTGGGGGCTGGGCGTGGTGGCTCACGCCTGTAATCCCAGCACTTTGGGAGGCCGAGGCAGGTGGATCACGAGGTCAAAAGATCAAGGCCATCCTGGTCAACATGGTGAAACCCCGTCTCTACTAAAAAAATACAAAAAATTAGCTGGGCATGGTGGCGTGCGCCTGTAGTCCCAGCTACTCGGGAGGCTGAGGCAGGAGAATTGCCTGAACCCAGGAGGCGGAGGTTGCGGTGAGCCGAGATCGCACCATTGCACTCCAGCCTGGGTAACAAGAGCGAAACTCCGTCTCAAAAAAACAAACAAACAAAAAAAAACACCTCCATCACCCACAAGGGCCACATTCCTGATTTTGATACTGTGCTATAATTATGTAGGATGCAACCACTGGGGAGGCTGGGTGAAGGGCCTCTCTATACTTACAGTCTTTGAAACTTCCTATGAATCCATAAGAATTTCAAAATTAAAAGTTTTTACAAAGTGGGGGAGGGGGGTGATAGGGATAGAGAGGAGAGTGAGCAGGACTCAGTGCCTGGCTTGATGCAAGGGGTTGGGACATGACCCCCAGGTTTCGGTCTTGGGTGACGGGATGAATGAGGGGAGGAGCACTAACTGAACAGTGGGAGGAGCAGGCCAGTTTTAGGCATGAGATAAAGACCTATCAGGGTTAGGAGATGTCTTTAGCCAGTCTTCAGGCCACACAATCCCTTAGTACCTGGACTGCCAGGGAGTAATAACACCATCATCAGGGCCCCCAATCAGCACCAGGTGGCCCACACGAAGAAAGTTCTTCCGCCATTCTGTAGGATGGAAAGAAAAGAGGCTGAGTCAGCCACAGGGGTCAGGCCTGGTCGGAGAGGGAAACACAAGGCGTCAAAGAAGCAGAAAAGGGGACACAGATAGGAGCCTGGATTCTCACCTGTGGCATTGGGATGGTCTCTTTCCCCATTGATCAGGGCCAGGAAGCTGCTAGCATTGAGGTATAAGTCATCATGGTGGGGATCTGGATACAAGCAGCAGTTAAAAAAAGGAAGCAGAAAAGGGAGGCAAGACAGGTGGTGAGGAGCCCAACAAGGAGGCTGCAGCAATAGTCAAGATGGGTAGCAATAAAACAGTAGTGATAATTTGGGCCAGGTGCAGTGGCTCACGCCTGTAATCCCAGCACTTTGGGAGGCCAAGGCAAGTGGATCACTTGGGGTCAGGAGTTCGAGACCAGCCTGGTCAACATGGTGAAACCCTGTCTCTACTAGAAATACAAAAGTTAGCCAGGCATTGTGGTGCATGCCTGTAATCCCAGGTACTCAGGAGGCTGAGGCACAAGAATCACTTGAACTCAGAAGGTGGAGGTTACAGTGAGTTGAGATTCCGCCACTGCACTCCATCCTGGGCAACACAGTGAGACTCCATCTCAAAAAAAAATAATGATAGTAGTCATAATAATTGTAAACATAACAAGTACTGTTTTTCTGAGATGGAATCTCACTCTGTTGCCCAGGCTGAAGTGCAGTGGCATAATATTGGCTCATTGCAACCTCCGCCTACTGGGTTCAAGCAATTCTCCTGCCTCAGCCTCCCAAGTAGCTAGGATTACAGGCAAGTGCCCACATCCAGCTATTTTTTTTGTATTTTTAGTAGAGACGGGGTTTCACCATGTTGGCCAGGCTGGTCTCACACTCTTGATCTCAAGTGATCCACCCACCTCCCAAAGTGCTGGAATTACAGGTGAGCAACCATATCTGGCAATAGCAAGTTCTTTTATCTAGCACTTACTATAAGCCAGGTACTATTCAAACTACATTGCATTCATTAATTTATTTAATCCTTAAAACCACCTGGTGAAGTATTCGATCTTATTGTTTTACAGACAAGGAAAACTGAGTAACACAATGGTTAAGTAACTTGCCCAATCTTAAGTAGGGTCAAGATTCAAACCCAAGTATTCTGGCCCCATGGTCTGGTCTAGAGGTTGGCAAACTGTGACCAATGGGCCAAATCCAGCCTGCTACTGGTTTTTGTAATTAAAGTTTTATTGGAACACAGAGACATTCATTCACATATGGTACATGGCTGCTTTCACACTGTAACAGCAGAATTGAGTAGTTGTGAAACCGACTACATGTCCTACAAAGCCAGAAATATTTACTCTCTGGCCCTTTATAGAAAAGTTTTGCTGACTCCTGCATCAGACTATACCTGCTGAGGCAATAAGGTAACACACTTAAAACATTCTGACCCTTGCCGGGCGCGGTGGCTCAAGCCTGTAATCCCAGCACTTTGGGAGGCCGAGGCGGGTGGATCACGAGGTCGAGAGATCGAGACCATCCTGGTCAACATGGTGAAACCCCGTCTCTACTAAAAATACAAAAAAAAAAAATTAGCTGGGCATGGTGGCACGTGCCTGTAATCCCAGCTAGTCAGGAGGCTGAGGCAGGAGAATTGCCTGAACCCAGGAGGCGGAGGTTGCGGTGAGCCGAGATCGCGCCATTGCACTCCAGCCTGGGTAACAACAGCGAAAACTCCGCCTCAAAAAAAAAAAAAAAAAAAAAAACATTCTGACCCAGGTACAGTGGCTCACACCTGTAATCCTGAGGTCAGGTCACACCTCCTGAGGTCAGGAGTTTGAGACCAGCCTGGCCAACATGGCGAAACTCCGTCTCTACTAAAAATACGAAAATTAGCCAGGCATGGTAGCATGTACCTGTAATCCCAGCTACTAGTAGGGCTGAGGCAGGAGGATTGCTTAAACCTGGGAGGCGGAGGTTGCATTGAGCTGAGATCGTGCCACTGCACTCCAGAGTGGGAAATAGAGAGAGACTCCCTCTCAAAAAAGAAAAAAAAACCCTCAGCAGTGCCTGTTCAAATAGTAAAGGCTAAATAAATGTAAGTTATTTTTCTTGTCATTACTGCTATTGGTTGCAGCAGAGGTGGAAGCAACTGACCTGACCCTCCACAGTGCCCTCTCCATGGAAGCCCCACTCACCATGCCAGTAGTTGCAGATGGAGAATTCCTGGCCCCAGGGGCTATAGCAGATCCGATAGAGGTTAGATCGCATGGAGGTGGGGAACAGCCACTTCAAGTAGTCTGTGTCTGGAAAGAGAATGTCAGTGCTAAGTGACCATAAACCTCTGTGCCCCCAAAACTCAGGGCATTCTGTGAGGTCCAGTGCCCACTCACCTCCATACTGTCCCATCTGTGGAGAGGAGAGGGAGATGAAAGAATCCACATTGTGATCATCCATGACAGAAAGCAGAGCCCGGCACACAAGGCCCCCTGTAGACAGAACACCACATTGGGCAGGGACTTAAGGACAGCAAAGCCAGCAGCACCCTCTACCCCCACGAACACACACTGCCCCCCAACACACTGTACATAAAGGAAACTGAGGCTTCCGGAAGGCAGGCACACCCTGTGCCAAAAGGTCACACATCATGTAAGTGACCGAGCCCGAATTAGATGCTAGGCCTCCTGCCTCTAATTCTAGGGTGTTTTTACCTGCCCCATTAGCCCTTATGTCCAAGAACCATGGATAATACGGAAAGAAGGAGCAGCAATGCAGGGAGCCTCCCTCCCATTCAAGACAGAGATGAGACCCAGATGCTGAGGGAAGTCAGAAAGGAAGGGCTCAGGTATCAGGGCTGTGCCTGGAGCAATGTGGTTCAGAAAAAGGGACACTAGGAAGTGTCCCTCAGATAAGGATCAAGCCTCAGATAGGGCTTAGGAGTTAGGGGCAGGGGAGTCGCCTACCCTGCGAGTAGCAGATGAGATGCACCCCTTGAGGGGCCTTTGCCATGATGGGGACCACAGCCTCTCGGAACCCTTGCACCTGTTCCCACAGGGGTCGCAAGCTCTCTCTCCCATCGAAGAGATCGAGCACTGTCACCACAGTCCCGGGGTGTGTCTGTGGGAAGGGGGCAATGCAGCCACCGGGGATAGGCTAAGAAGCTCCCACACACCACCCCCTGGCCCACGTCCACAGGCCTATTGTGCCCTGCTACAACCAGGGATCCCGTCCCCCAATTCTCCCCCCATGCCAGCATCAGCTCCCTGAGGAACTGGGCAGGCCCAGAGGGGTGGCTTTCAGTTTCCCGCTTTCCCTCCCCTGCCACAGTAGAGAGCCTCTAACGCCCGGCACCCGGGTGTCCCGTGCCAGACCTCATTGATGTATTCCAGCAGGTGGCGGAAGCTGTACGAGCTGTCGAAGAGCCCATGCACCACGATGACCGGCTTGTAGGACGCGCGGTGGGGCGCGGGGGCTGCAGGCAACAGCAGCGGCAGGAAAGGCAACAGGAGCAGGACCCACGCCGCGGGCAGCCGCTGCCCCCAGAGCCCCAGCATGCTCCTGCCTAAGAAAGTGGCGATAAGGGCCTGTGAGGGAGATGGCAACACCCTTCTCCCTCGGAACAAACGCACGGCAATCAAACCGCCTCCTATGGCTCCCGCACCAGGTCCTTGTCACAAAATAGCCTACTTTTAACTTACTCGAGCCCTCTCCCTACAAACACACCCCCCTACCACGTTGACGCACCAACGCGCACCCGCTGTCCCGCCCCGAACTCCTCGCTCTGGGAGCCTCTTCCCTAGGCCCAGACTGATGCCCCTCCCCAGCCAGGAACAACGCGGAGTTCTGTAATACCCCGGAGCAGCAGCCCAGACCCCCTGGAGAGTGCAAACTCCCACCTGGCCTGGCTCCGTAGGACTCGCTCCCGCCCGCTGTTTACTTCTCCCAAATCTGGAACCCACGGGGGAGGGGGAAGGGGGAGAAAAGGGAGCGCAGGAGAATGACGGATGGGAGGGGGGAAGGGCGAGCTGCTTGGGGTCGCGCAAATCCGTCACGTCCGGGGCTTTCTCTGGCAACCGCGCGAGCGTCCCCCGCAACTCACAGCCGGGACCGGAGGGGCAATGGAATATTCCATTGCGCCCTAGGTGCCGGGGAGGAAACAGGCGGAGCGATCCATTTAGGCCAGTGGGGAGAGGAAAAAGCAGCAAACAGATTCTGGGAATGGAAAGAAGGGCTGTCCAGGCTTCGTTGGCCCCAGCGACCCAAAGGTCCGACTTCCCCGCCTCGATTCTCTCCACTTCCCAGTACAGGCGTCCGGCTCTGCAGCAGAACACGAAGTTTTCTTTCCCCAGGGGGCGGTCGGGGGGTGGACCAGGGAAAGATAGCCCTCCACATTTTGCCTTGTGCTGGGTGAGTGGCAGGGTGACCTGGAGGGCTGATGCCAGCGCGGGCTTACCCCTCAACACCCACCCCACCCCCCTCCAGCCCGCCCCGGGTCAGCGTCTTACAACTCTTCATTCTGAAGTGCATGTAGTGCCCTTGTCTCCAGAGACGCGGAGAGTCCTCGAGGCCCCTTGAGCTAAGTGCAGCCTGGCCCAGTTTCTCCTGCCCTACTCTACTCCCCTCCCCATAAGCGACCCACCCCGAAGGGGCGGAGGGCCCAAAGGGATGCGCTGACTCACGCCCGCGTAACTTCGACCAGTCTTTCAACCTGAGCGACCCCCACAATCTGGCTTTCTGAGCTCTCTGTGGGCGGCTCCCTATCGAGACCCCCAGGCGACCCCTACTCCACACCCTAGTGCCTCAGGGCTTTTACTTAGCATTTAAAGACGTTTATCTTGAGATAAGGCTTTCTCCGCACGTCTGAGCCCCTCTCTCTGTTTACAAGGTCACTGCTTGGTCTAAATTCGTCTCAGTCAAACCACTTTGCGCTCGGAATGGTGGAGTGTGACGGCGGGGCGGCGGTAAGGGGTCGGGGGTTCACGCGATCGCCTAAGTGACCAGAACGACTGGTGTGAAGCCTTGATCTGACTCTCTGGAGCCTGGAACTGGTTTCAGCGGAAGCCTCCGTACTGCTCTGTAGTCTCCACTAGGATATAGACAAAAAGGGACCCAGCCGGGAAAGCGACGGCCTGAGGCGGGGGCTGGGGGCGTAAGGAGCAGAATGATTCTCTGGCTGTGTTTTTGCAAAAAAAAAAAAAACCAACTGGTGTAACTCTCCGTAGACTGCCTATCCTCGCTCCCTGCACCCACCCACGCGCTCCCAAGATACAATAAGCAAATAAAAAGACTAATAACGCTGTGCTGCAGGTCGACTCAGGAGGTGGAAATGCCTCTTGGTGACAGGGAGTGGGTGGGAGTAGAGGGGTTTGGGGAATGGATCTAAACATTGACCGGCTCAGAGACGCTAAGCAGCCTCAGCAAGCAAAGGGAGAGTGGGGGAACAAGCACAATTCCCAACGGAGCTGCCAGAAATGAGCAATTAAGTCATACCCCGCCCCCACCCTCTCCAAAAGAGCTTCGGCTCCTCAGTCCTGGACAAAGAAGGTATGTATGCACACCACACACACCACACAAACTCTCTCTCCCTTTTCCCCCCAAGGCCCAGCTTCCCCCGAATTACAGACCTGGGCCTCCCTCTTTGCTGTCAGGTTGGCAGGTCCACCGTACCCTGGGAACTTTTCAGACCATCGCAGTTCTGAACTCTGCGCAATTCTCTCTCACACACAAGTATTTATCTCTTCTAAAGAGGAGGAAACGGGCCAAAGATTTGGGAGAAGACCCTGGCACCTTTCAGGGAAGACTCTGGCACATTGCAGGGAGCTAAGTCGGGGGAGGACCTGCCTCTGGAGGTACCTGGGTTATTAACTCCACTGAGAACCTGTTCACTTCCTCCCACAATATAACCACTACAGTGAGTCTTGGAGGGGGAGACTCTAGAGAGTTCTCCGTCCTTCGTTCCCTTAGTCCCACCCGCCTAGCCTGGTCTAGCCTCCGTGTTTCCATGACAACTCCAAAGGAGCCTAAACTGGGGGCCTGAATGCTGGGGTGAGAGGAGGGGAGAGGTGGTCCAAGAGCAGAAAGAGAGACCTAGTGGGGGACGGCTGAAGTGCTCCCCCTCCCTTGCCACGGTCCCTTTAAGCTCCCCCCCTCCCTGTTCTCCCTCCGCCCCCCGCCGCTGCCTTCATCTCTCCATCTCTGCGCTGCTGCCGGCTGCGCCATCCAGCACCCAGACTCCGGCTCCGGCCAAGGACCCTCCACTCCGGCTGCAGGGACCCTGTCCCAGTGAGACCGCAGGCATGTCATCCGAAAAGTCAGGTAAAAACAATAACAAAACCTCCCACCCCCTCCACTGTCTTCTGACTCTCCCTCCCCCTTGCCCCAACCCCCTTCTTCACCCCTCCCTAGCGGTGGTTCTGTTTCATTCCCCTTCTCTCCAGCTCTCAACACTCTGCTAATTCCCCTCCTCTTTCTGTCTCCCCCTTCTTCTTCCTTTCCTCCTTCCAGTCGAAGCCTCTGCCCCTTGCCAACAGCAGGGGCCGAGGCGGGTAGGTTGAGAGGGTGAAGAAAGTACAGCCAGGTTCTGCAAGAATAGCATCATTGGGAGTGACAGATGGACAATCCCTGGCTGGCATGGAGACATCCCGTAGGGAAACAGGGAGAGATGACCAGATGGGGGTTGTCAAGGGAGTAAAATCCAGAGGGCTTTTCTTAATCTGCCCTAAAAGAGGTCCTGAGATTCTCAAAGAGGCTGGGGCACTCCTCCCCCCACTGAAGAAACAGCAGAGTGGAGCACATGTCATCCCACATGTGTTTATACAACTGTTGAATCGAACATAGATAACACAGGGTTGCATGTCTACACATAAGCACATACTAGCCCGGACAGGCCAGCCCAAAGGCAGCTATAGCAAAGGAGAGGGGATTGGGGTCTGCAGGTGAGAGCTGGGTGCATGGTGATGAAAAAGAGAAAAGAAGCAGACAAGAGTTGTGACCTCAAAACTAGATTGGAAGGAAGAAGGAGGGGGGCAGATGGCCTAGATATAGCCCCTCTCTTGCCCCTCAAATTAGAGATGGTTTCTCACTCGTCTCTTTCTATGTGTCTCTCCGATTATCTTTCTCCATCCACGACTCGCTGTGTTTCCCCTTACCCCTCCTCATCACTGTCTGTGTTATCTTTCCCCTTATCCTTTCCTCCACTCACCTCCTCCAGGACTCCCAGACTCAGTCCCTCACACTTCTCCACCGCCCTACAATGCCCCTCAGCCTCCAGCCGAACTCCCAGCCCCACCGCCACAGGCAGCCCCTTCCTCACACCATCACCACCACCACCATTACCATCAGTCTGGCACCGCCACCCTCCCGCGCTTAGGGGCAGGGGGCCTGGCCTCTTCCGCGGCCACCGCTCAGCGCGGTCCCTCCGCCTCCGCCACACTGCCGAGGCCCCCCCACCACGCCCCTCCCGGTTCTGCTGCTGGGGCACCCCCACCCGGCTGCGCTACCTTGCCCCGCATGCCACCCGACCCTTACCTGCAGGAGACTCGCTTCGAGGGCCCACTTCCCCCGCCGCCGCCCGCCGCCGCCGCCCCGCCCCCACCGGCGCCCACCCAGACTGCCCAGGCCCCCGGCTTCGTGGTGCCAACGCACGCGGGGACTGTGGGCACGCTGCCGCTGGGGGGCTACGTAGCGCCCGGATACCCCCTGCAGCTGCAGCCCTGCACTGCTTACGTGCCGGTCTACCCGGTGGGCACGGTGAGTGCCAGGCAGACAGGGGCATGGGAGAAGAGGGGGATGCGATACAGGACTTGAAATTGGGGATACACTGGGGGCTGGCAGAATAGAGGAACAAGGACAGGGAACAGGTAGTGTTCCCGGGGCAAGCCCTAGAAAGAAAAGAGCCTGAGACATGAGGGACTAGGGAGAGACCCGGGAGCAGGAGTCTATTGGTGCCCAAAGTCAGGGCCTGGGAGAGGGAACAGAGCCTAGAGGTTCAGAGGTCTGAAAGTAAGAAACCGTCTGGAGGGGGAAAAATGGAAGCTGAGAACCCAGGGGAAGATGGAAGAAGCCTGGGACTAAGTGGTAGGGCAGGCCTGGTAGGTGTGTGGAAGGAAGAAACAAGGTCTGAAGTGAGGCCAGGGCAACCCCTGTGGGACCATACCTTGTGGGAGAGAATGTAGAGAACCCAAGAGTGGTGATTAATGAAGCAGGGAACGGAGAAGAGGGGCCTAGGTGGAATTTATCGGTGTCCTGGAAGGATACTGGGTGGTTTATTTTGAGAAACCATAGTTCAGAATTGTGCTTTTGCCGGGCTCGGTGGCTCACGCCTGTAATCCCAGCACTTTGGGAGGCCGAGGCGGGTGGATCACGAGGTCGGGAGATCGAGACCATCCTGGTCAACATGGTGAAACCCCGTCTCTACTAAAAATACAAAACATTAGCTGGGCATGGTGGCGCATGCCTGTAATCCCAGCTACTCGGGAGGCTGAGGCAGGAGAATTGCCTGAACCCAGGAGGTGGAGGTTGCGGTGAGTCGAGATCGCGCCATTGCACTCCAGCCTGGGTGACAAGAGTGAAACTCCGTCTCAAAAAAAAAAAAAAAAAAAAAGTGCTTTTAAAGCCACTCTGCCGGCCACCCAATGCTGGTAGGCTGGGAGAGGGTCGGAGTGATGCCCCTTCCCCCCAACTTTCCTTCCACAGCCATATGCAGGCGGGACCCCGGGGGGGACAGGAGTGACCTCCACTCTCCCCCCGCCGCCCCAGGGCCCAGGGCTGGCCCTACTGGAGCCGAGGCGCCCGCCACACGACTACATGCCCATCGCGGTGCTGACCACCATCTGCTGCTTCTGGCCTACGGGCATCATTGCCATCTTCAAGGCAGTGCAGGTAGGGGGCAGGAACATACTCGGTTTGGGGGATGGGCAGTTCTAGGAGTGCTGGGGACCATCGCAGAGAAAGGCTGCAGCTCTTTGATCTCCTTTCCCCACTTCTCCTCCGTAGGTGCGCACGGCCTTGGCCCGCGGAGACATGGTGTCGGCCGAGATCGCTTCACGCGAGGCCCGGAACTTCTCCTTCATCTCCCTGGCCGTGGGCATCGCGGCCATGGTGCTCTGTACCATCCTCACCGTAGTCATCATCATCGCCGCGCAGCACCACGAGAACTACTGGGATCCCTAAAAACGCCCCCGGTCCGGCCCCACTCTGCGCCCCTCGACCCCCCAGGCTCATTCTGCAGTCATGCCGCGGGCCCAATGGGCGCCCTGCACACCCGCTTCTGGGGCCATCAGACTTCAATACATCGTAAACTCCGCCTCCACGGAACGTCTCGCCTTGGGAGCAAGCTCCGAATCCAGTTCCTCAGGAACCCCTCCAAAACCCACACCCCAAGGGACGCCGCTTTACGGGATCCTGGCCAAACGCCGGACCCTCAGTCGCCCCAGGCCCCCTCACCCTCAAAGCGTAGTGCCCGCAGCCCAGCAATCTGGGTTTGGTCCCTAAAACCCCACCTCCTCCATAAGCTCCGCCCTAGCGCTGACAAACCCCGCCTCCAGGTCGGCAGGCTCCGCCTTCTTTTTTTCTCCGCGGGGTGATTCAGTCCAGTGATTGGGTTTGTGGCTCCAGGCCTCACCTACAGACGGACAGACTCCTCCCTTCCCTCCGGCCAAAGGACCGAGCCCTGGGGTAGCCACGCCCCCACCTCCAGTTTTTTGCAAGTACGTTTTCGTCCCACCTCCACCCAGATTTCAACCTATTTTCTTGCTAATCCCAGAACGTCTCCCTTGGTTTTTGGAAGCACATTTGGGAAGTTCCTGGTGTAGGACCCTTCTCCCTGGGATAAGAAACATGCCTGTAAAAGCTCTGTAAATACTCCCTTCCACCTCTCCCAGCTCCTGGGCAGCTGGGCAGAAAGGAATCCAGGCTATGGACCTCCCAAGTCCCCGCTCCCCGCTCCCCTCGGCGGCCCCCGCCTTGTTCTGATCTGTGTGTGCCTGTGTGTGAACTTCTGAAAGACGGTATTAAAGAGACTTAGTTGATCTATCGCCCGCAATTCCAAAGACTACGGCCTCGCCAAAAAAAAAAAAAAAAAAAAAAAAGAAAGAAAAAAGAAAATCCGACAGAGACTAACGTGAGGGAGACAGATTCCCAGATCGCCAGAGACACGCGAATATGGGAGACGGAGGGAAGCTCCCTGGGAATCCACCAGAGAAGACCTTGGGGGTCCATTCTCAGTGAGGCTTTGTTTTCTCAGTGGGGCTGAGGAAAAAAAAGTGAGGCTTTATTTCCCCAGTACCCCTTTTCCATTCCCTGCTATCCCCAGAACTCCAGGAAGGCAAGAGAACAGAAGAGGGCAGACCATGGTGAAGAAGCTGGTCAAGGATAGAGCGATGCAGGAAAAGATGCCAGCTGCCCATAGCTGTTCTGACTGGGCTGGCGGGTAGCAGAAAACTTGGATTAGAGCCCCACATGCTGGACTGTACGGGGTATAGGAAAGGCAAAAAGAGCAGATTGGGAACCCAGGGAGGAGGTCAATGGCCTCTCAAGTCTCCCTGGAACTAGCTGCCCTGTCCTAGCCAAAAGAGGTCAACCATGAGGCCTTTTTTGAGAGGGGAGTGGTGATTAGCGGATGGCACCAGCGGTGGGCTTGGGTCTTTGGTGGTCCTATCCTGAATTTATGCATTTATGCAACAGGCAGACTCCATACTGGATACTGGTGAGACATCCACCCAGACAGCAGGTGTGACCCCTGACCTCATGGAGCTTACAATCTAGAAGGGAAGCCATGCACTGAGATAGGAGATGTGAGAGGAGGTGGGGTGAGGTGTGGATATCATGGGTTCCACTTTGGATGTTTCAGATTTAATGTGCCTACCTTACCAAACTTCTTGAAAAGAATTCACGGCTGAGCGCAATGGCTCACGCCTGTAATCCCAGCATTTTGGGAGGCTGAGGCCAGCAGATCACTTGAGGTCAGTAGTTGGAAACCAGTCTGGCCAACATGATGAAACCCTGTGTCTACCAAAAATATAAAAAATTAGCAGGGTTTGGTGGCAGGCACCTGTAATCCCAGCTACTCAGGATGCTGAGGCAAGAGAATTGCTTGAACCTGGGAGGTGGAGGTT